CCGCTCGTGGGTCATGGATGCTGCCGGGATCCAGGAGAGAAGAGAGGCTGAGACCCGGCGCCGGGAGGGACATGGATGTGAAAGCGGTGGAAATTCTAAGGCTGCCCTTGTCCTTTTAAATAGCTGCAGCCAGGGGACTCCACTCGCTGGCTGGGGTGCCCCAGGTATCCGGTTTCAGCAAACATCAGCTAATGAGCAGAGATCCAGCCTCCGCGGGGCCGGTTCAGGGCTGCTCTGCAGGCGCGGGGGGGAACCCCAGCACCCCTCCAGCAAGAGATGGAGCAGGGATGAAGCTGGAGGGAGGGCTGAGGGTGAAGAGCTGCATGCCACGCTCACTGCTGCTGCAGGCTGGGGGGCAGAGGCTGCGGCTCCTTGGGCTGCAAGGTCTGCAGGGCAAAGGACAGGTCCTGCGAGGTGCTGAGCATCCAGCGCAGGTCTGAGGCACCAGCGAGGGTCCGGGCATCGAAGCTGAACCACCCTAGGGTCTCGTTCCACAGAGATATTTTGTGTCTTGCCACAATGTGCCCCGAGACAGAAGGAAAGACCAGGCAGAACTAAAGCACCTCGAACTAGTTATAGGCACTAAACTCAGACATTCCTGACAAAATAAACCACAGCCACAAGTAGGATCAATATCAACCCTCCAAGTACCTGAACTTGAAGCTAGAAGGGAATGATTTTACGCGCTCAGAGCAGAAAATTCAAGGACCCACTGGCCTGACTCAGCAATGCAGGTTTTAATTCAAAAAACTGACCTCAGAATGTGACCAGAAATTAAGGTTTCCACCATAAATCAGATCTGCTGTACACATGACATCTTCAGTTACCATGCATGCTAAAGACTTCTGTCATTTAATACATATATTTGACTTAGTTGTGGTTGCTTGCCAAGACTGTGGTTTTGCATCTCCCAATTTCTATAGGCATAAGATTTTATTCATACCTTTGCTCTGGAGCATCTGTATTTTGCTTCCTTGCTTGCGGTTACAGATGAAGCTTTAAGTAACAATAACAAAAATTCAAGACAAGCAGTGTTATGACGGGGGTAGATAACTAACAGCCTCACAAGTCCACCGTCCTCAGGAAAACCTTTTCAGAAGATTACTGCTAAGTTACACATCCCTATACTTGTAAGAAACTCCTATGCACAAACAAACCTGTCTCAAAACCCTCTGAAGGCCCAGGAGCTCAGAGCACCCACCCAGACCAGCTCTGAGGACTGGGACTTCAGGGACAAAAGGCGGTCACACAGCTTGTCAGAAATCACATAAAATCCCTATTTGTGTTAGCTATTTTTCCCCAGCTGTTTTTTTCCATGTTTCTCAGTCATGCATTCCTCACTGAGAAGCATACTGTAGCCAGCCCTAGGTGTTTAACATAAAGCTTTAATCTATTAAAAAAATGCTTTGCAAAGAAGCGTGTAGAAATTCCTGTGCTGTGGAATACTGCTTATATCCTCCTGCTCAAGTATTTATTAGCCTTCCTTCCCCTTAGAAAACCTTCTCTACTCAGAAAAGAACAAGGCCCCAGCTTCCCAGAGGGAGAAAAGAAAGCAAAAATGTGCTGCATCTTTTTGCAGAGATGTATGGAAATGGATGCCTATGGGTGGCCGGTAAGGACTGGCAACGCTTCAGGTCCGCAGCATTGCGCCAAGGACCACCATAAAACATGCTTAGAGCCCCATCCTCAAATATTCTGTACATACACAACTTTGCTCAGATGAACACTTTTCAAACCAAAACACATGCATAAAAGCTTTGCTAGCGTGGAGACATAAATGTAGCCCAGCAGTAGGAAAAAGGGAATTAGTTTAAAACAAAAGGAAACCCAACATTGCTGAAGCCAAGACTAATGCCAAGTGAATTCAGGTTCAAAAATTAGACCTCATTCTTCAGAAAGAGAAAAGCCACAACATATGATCTGAATAGAAATATATTTAGCAGATTTATTTTTCTTCCCTTCCAAATTTAAATAGAAGCCATTTTAAAACACTAAATAAACTGAAGCAAATCAGCACAGCAGTGAAATGAATAAAAAAAAAAAGTCAAAAAGAGGAGTTGGCATTGGCTGTTCTGGTTTAATTAGCCAAAATAAGAAAAGTACAGGGGAGGAGGAAATGCCGCCGCACACCACACAACATCGGGAATGGGGAAAAGAACACTTGTTTTTGACAAAACGCACCTCTCCAAAAAAGCAGCATGTCATTACTGCCTGAATAAGTACAGCACTGAAAATGTTCATCCGCATTTAGCCAGTTTCCAGAAGAATCAGTACCCACCTCTCCTCAGGACCTGTAGCTTGGTTAATGCTCTTATTAATATACCTTTGTGTCTTTGCTCCTCTTGGAGAGCCAAGCGTGAAGGCGTCTAGGAGCCGTGGCGAACGCGTTACGGCTGTGCCACATGACTCACAGTGCCCGGCTTCGAGGCCCAGAGCAATCCCAGTCCCTAACCTGGGCTTGCCCTCCCAGTTTGGCTTGGCCTGAAGGACAACACTGAATTACAGTTCAGTTCTTACCTTTGAACAAGTCAGAAAAGTGTCCTGGATCACTCACTGTTCCCCCTCTCAGAAATCACAAGGAATTACAGGGATGTATTTGGATATATTTAGATAAATAACCCTATTCAGGTTTAAAACTGTGGTATGACAAGGCAGAAGGTACAGGCAGCATGAAACCCGAGGCATTGGAAAAAAAAGCTTGTGGGAGGGATCAAAAAAAGCGTGAAGGAGAGCTGGGATAAAGAGCCTTTCACTCCCCTCTGGGCTGAGGACCTGCACCCAGCCGCATCGGGGGTGTCTCTGCTCAGAACCCAGCTCAGGGTGGTTGGAGCTGTAGGAAAAGGGCACCCACGGTCCCTGCATCACAGGAGGGTGCAGGTACATGGCCACGTGCTGTGGTGGCCCAGGTACGTGTACCGTACGGAGCAGGGCTGCTGGGGAGGGCTGGTTCCACACCTGCAAACCCAGCAGGAACAGAAGATCAACCATGCACACAACTCGTCATCGTCCCTCAGCCCACACAGAGTTACAGCTGCGATATAGGAGCAACTGGCTGTGCCAGCCTCCAGCTCCTGGGGATGTCTCTCTGGGCACTGACCGAGCACCCACGCTGCAAACGTCAGCAGCCCTGGAGCAAGAAGCCCCGGGAGAGCTGCTGGCAAGAGCCTGGTACCAACCCTTGGCTACCAGGGCAGCAATGAAACATTTGCACCAATGCCCATTTCTATCCCTTCTTACCCCCTTTGAGGGCCACACAGTCCCTCTGCCCTTACATGCTCCACACTTCACTGCAACGCTCTCCCAGGTATAGAGTCCCCTGCATGGGTCTTCCTAACCTCTACGTGACTTCTCTGTTCAGATCCTGTATTTAATGTGACCATAGCGGCTCTTCGCTCACTCACAAGCTCTATTTGACTGACTGACACTAATTCAAATCCTGGACCAAAAGGCTTCCCTATGCTGTAGGGCCCTGGGTATGAGCAGAAACCTGCTGATGGACTTCATTTGGTTGCTGGGAAGTCTCTCCACCCGTGGCCAAGACGAGATCTCCGGGAAGGCAGAAGCTGCCCTGGCTGGAGACCAGTTAAGCTGATGTGTCTGTTCGTTCTCTCTTTCTGGCTTCAGCCATCACTGCAAGAGCAGGTGGTTTCACCTGAGGAGCAGAACATGCAGCACTTCTGATTTTAAGGACTGCTGTTTGACAGCTATTTTGTGATGCAAAAGCTGCTATAGCTTATGTTTCTTGCTCCCACTGCACTGTAGACTATTATACAGGAGATGTACTGAAAGCTCAAAAATATGTATGTAACCAAGCTACTGCCCAGTGC